AAAAAAAAGTAATTTTATAATTTTCATTTTTAACAACATACCGTTTCACGTTTTAACAAAAAAAAACATATAATTTTAATTTCTAAATAATTGTAATACTAATTTTTATACGTATTAATTTCACAAAATTTGCTCATTATAATATCTAATGATTAATAGGAATAATTATAACGTAATAAATGTAAGTTTATCAACTTTATTTATTTATTAAATTTTGTGTCTAAAAAAAAGGATGTCTAGGATTAGAATTTGATCTTAAAAAAAATTTCTTTTGATGGTTTACTAATATCAAAATTCAACAAACAAATGAAAACTGTGTTTAGCTTTATTTGGCATTCTCGAGCAATGTAGACTATCTATATATGGAAATTCAGAAACGATTTAATCGGGGGCTGAAAAAAATTTTTTTCAACTCTTTTTTCTCTGTCAGAATAAAATTTTTGCAATCAAATATAATCGAAACTTAATTTTTATTGAATAATATACAGAATAAATTTGACTTATATTAAGGAAGATTAATTGCAAAAATGGTTTTAAAATACAATATAGAAAAATCCCTAAAAGTCTTGGAAACTAAAATTAAGGAATTAGAAGAAAGCAACGAGTGTTTACATTCACAATTCATATCTTTAGAAGAAACGGTTAGAGAACGAGAAGAAGTTACCAAAGTTGATCAAGAAATTATTACACAATTGGAAGGAAGGATTAGAAATCTTGAATCAATTATTTATGATAATACGATTGATTGTTTAATCATTACAAATAATGATCACATATTAAACACCTCGGGTGGATTGCAAAAATATCGTAAAATGACAAAGCTCTATTGTAACGATTCTCAAATAACCAGTTTAACAACTTTACCTAACTCCTTAATGGAACTCTATTGTTGCCTTACTCAAATAACAAGCCTACCATCTCTATCAAACTCCTTAACTATTCTTCATTGTGAAAATACTAAAATAACCACATTACCATCTTTACCTAACTCCTTAATGGAGCTCTATTGCTATGAAACTCAAATTACAAGCTTACCACCTTTACCTGACTCCTTAACAGAACTCTATTGTTACAATACTCAAATAACAAACCTACCATCTCTATCTAACTCTTTAAAAATTCTCCAATGTGAAAGTACTAAAATAACCACATTACCAACTTTACCTAACTCTTTAACGGAAATCCATTGCAATGAAACTCAAATTACAAGCTTACCAACTTTACCAAACTCCTTAACGGAACTCTATTGTTGCAATACTCGAATAACAAGTTTGCCAACTCTATCTAACTCCTTAAAAATTCTCCATTGTGGAAATACTAAAATAACCACATTACCAACTTTACCTAACTCTTTAATGGAAATCCATTGCAATGAAACTCAAATTACAAGCTTACCAACTTTACCAAATTCCTTAACATTAATCCGATGTGAAAATACTAGAATAACCGGATTAACATCTTTGCCTAACTCCTTAACAGAACTCTATTGTTTTCAAACTCAAATAACAAGCTTACCAGCTTTATCAAACACCTTAAAAATTCTAAGATGTGAAAAAACCAAACTATTTTGGTTACCGATTTTACCCAACACCTTAACGGAACTTTATTGCTATGATACTCAAATTTTTTGCTTACCAACTTTACCTAACTCACTAAAGGAACTCAGATGTTTCAAGACTAGATTAACCAGCTTACCGACTTTGCCCAATTCTTTAACGGAACTAAATTGTTCTAAAACTCGAATAACCAGCTTATCAACTCTTCCAAACTCCCTAACGAGGCTTGATTGTTCTTTCGCTCCAATAACCAGCTTACCTGTTTTACCTAATTCATTAAAAATTCTCCGATGTTATAATACTAAAATATCATTCTTACCAACTCTACCTTATTCCTTAACAAGTCTTGTGTGTTTTAATACACAAATAAAAAAGTTACCAAATCTACCCTATTCCTTAACAAGTATCAATCCTGTATCTTTAAAAACCGAATACTCATATAAACGAACTTTTTATTAAGCGAACATTTGGGAAAGCTTGCATTATGGCACTTAATAAAAGCTTAATATTCGTACTTAAGTTCGATTTGTTTACAACTTAAAGTGATCAAAGCTGAAATAAAGATAAATAAATAAAACAAAAATTTTATCTTTATACAAATATTCAAAACCTATTGTTTAACTTGATTTCCTATGGTTGATTTCATAAAAAGTGCAAGGAAATTGGGAATGATCAAGGTCCGGACTTTTATATAAAGAATACAAAAATTAAAGATTTCTTCAAATGATATAAAAAAGACAACTACTAAAATATCAATTATTTCATTTTATCAAATTGTAATAAAAATTAAATGCAATAAAATTAAAAATTCTCAAAATCTTATTTTTATATTGTCTTTATTGTCTTTAAATTATCCCATGATAAAGTACAAATAAACTTGCAATTACATGAAGCAAAACCATGTTATGCATAATAAAACTAAATTTAAATATCCAAACATGTATATTAAGAGCTCAATCAAATTCCAGAACGTTGGTATTCTCGAATATGATTAATTCGATAATCATTGTGCGATGTAATTTTTTTCCAACGGCCCTTAATATTTAGACTTGGCACGTAAATATCGTTATTCTGAGAGATTTTGACGCTCCATTTCTTGTATCTCTTGATCCAATAAAAATAAATTATCTTTAATCAGTAATTCCATGTTGTTGACTTGAAACTTTTCTTATGCATATATTGTCGCGTGTTTCGCCTTGTAATTGTCGAAATCTAAGCAATTACTCTGAATTTATAATATACAATAACATATAATAACGTTCTAAATACTTTGATAATTAATTTTAAAAAAAGAAAGCTGGTAGGTCAGATCAGAAAAATATTATTATTCTGCTAAAGCTACTTTCGTGATTGAACACACATCAAATACACAGTCTCAAGTATCACCAAGACTTAGAACATGTTTATGCTTCCCTAAACACCACAAAGTTAATATCAGAAAAAAAGAAAAACTGGTTTAGTTAAAACTCCTGAACAAACCATTACATTGCATTTTTATTCTGAAATCTCATGGTGAGCGATCGGTACAACTAAAAAAAATTCAGGTTTTGTCACAATTTCATTCAGTTAATTTTTGTTATCGATAATTAAGTATTTTTTGCAATTGAGCGGCCATGATAAATTTCGGGTATAAAATAGATAACATTTTATATTAGTATTTCCTTTCGCTTTATTGATATATCGAAAACGAAAAATCTATATTTAATAAACTTTTTACAAAAGAAGTTTGAAAATACTCTTCCATTGATACTATGTCTTAGCATTTTTGAAATAGTTAATTTTATAGAATAAAACATGGCTTAAACCTGGTGGACATAAAAATTTTAAAGTTAAATTGAAAATAATTTTTCGGTGCATTAACTTAGAAGTCCTTTATCTTGGGAATATAAAACTAATAACTCTTTTATTACGATTCAATTGTGTAGTTGGTAATCACAAGCGGAGTTTATATGAAGACACAAGGAAGGGTTGAAAGTGTAAAGTGTTTTATCAAAATTTAGAAATCCGTAATTTTTTCACCAAGACTTTACAATGATCAGACTCCAGCATAGATATACTAAATTGTAGACTACGCATTTTCGCAATAATAAACAATACAAACAATATATACAATATACATGCTAAATATAAAATAAACTAAATAAGATAATGAAATATATTAAACTAACTAAAACTCTGAATCGTTATATTTAACATAATTAACAAGTATGCTATGTAATGCTACATTTGCCACAGTACGATTTTAGCCGCACTTTCGATCGTCGGACATTTTCGTTAACACCGGTTGTCACATCGCGTAAATTAACGAATGAATATCAATGTTGTGTTATACAAGTTATAGTTGAATGCGTCGTGCGAAAAAATGTGTCATATCACAATTGAAACAAAATATACAAATTTGAGCTCCGGACTTTAAATGATTTCCATTTCCTAGTATAAAAAAACACACGGTAGAATATTCATATTGAATTCGTTTCTCAGCATTAACATTATCCGTAAAACTCGGGTAGTTCCGAGTTAAACTATAGTTGGTTCGGGTCGTGTTCGGGTTATGTAAATGCTGGCCCGAATATTTTTAACAGTTCATTTGCCCTCTCGGGTCGGGTTCGGGTTTCTCTGAAACCTGACCCGACCCGACCCCTTCGGAGCACTAGCCAGAATAATCACAAAGGAAATCAAACGGAGAAAACAGTATGTCTCCTATAAAATCTAGGAAAAATTTTTTGCTTTATTAATTATTAATCATTTTATTTAAATAAATTTATTATTGAAGTTTTATTGTCAATGTAATTAACAAAATGACTTAAATTACATAATAAATGTATTTTGGTAGTATCAAAAATATAAAATGATTGTAAACTTTAGCTTGATTATTACTTTGAAACGAATTATATGCGACGACGATCAACGGGAATTTTATAATTATGGCTGATTCAACCGTCACCCTTTCCTTCCGTTGTGGCCGTGATATAAATTGACATCTTATCGGATAGGAGAGATAAATAATAGGTTAAGATCTTATAGGTATTTTATTTTTATTTATTTTTTTTTTTTTGCGACCCGTGCGGCGCAGAGTACTGCCTTCTTTCTCTCCACAAATTATCATCAATGATCTATCTACGAATGTCTTGTAGATCTAACCTCAATTATTATATATGCTCTCATTTGAGTAATTTTAAATAAAACACTAAGAAATTTGCAAACTAAGCAAATTTTTTTAGCCACCGCGCGGCTTTTTCTTCCTAATGCGTAATTATTATACAAAATTTTCATTTTTTGTTTACTTTTAATCAAATAGTTATGAAGCCCAATGTTGTACACATTTAGAGAAAAAAAAAGAAAATAGAAAATCAAAATTAAGAAAAGATATAAAATGCATGCCTGTTTTGCAATTGTTATAAAATTAATTTAATAAAGCATGAATAAGATATATGCAAATAAAACATGAAACCCTTTATTTTTACATTAATCTTCGTGTTGATTACATCACCATCGGTATTTTCACGTACGAATGATGACGCGTGTGCGAGAATAATCATTGGATATGAAAAATCTAATAGGGATCCGGAATTTAGCGCAAATTATTCCGACGTTAAAGAATGCTTTGAAGAGTTTCCTTATGACAGGGAGATAGCCGAAAATGTAAATCAGTGTTCGCGTTCTTTCAAGTTCTTTAAACGAAATGCACATTAATAATTTTTTTTTAAATAGACGATCGAAACGATTAAGAAAACACTTCAAGGATTTTTTGTTTATTTATCGCAGGCTAAAGAAGAACCCAAACAAGGATATTCTTTCAGACCTGTTGATTTAATTAAGGAATTGGATGCACTATTAACAAAGAATTATACATCAGAGTTTCATTTTATGGTAAGAAACATTCTTGCCAAGTACCTTTTAATTGAATTTTTAAAGATAATATTTTTTTAATTCGCCTTACCTTAAATTTTATTTAGCTTAATATATACACTTTAATTGCAGAATTGAAAGATCCTCATCTAAGATTTCTACCACTATGTTACTTACGTTTCTTGTATAGCCAACAACTTTCATTATATTCAGTAATTAACAAAGATAAAGTACAAATAATCAAAGTATATGATGATGAAATAGATAATAACAACGTTGATTGTGAGGTGACACATATAGATGGAAGACCTTCAATGGAAGTGATCAAAGAATTTGCGGACATGAGTATTGATCTCTCAAAAGATTCAGGAGCAAGATTTAATTCAGCATTAGCAGCTTTAAGAATTAATGAAATTGGAGACAGAATTATATCATCAGAACAGTTCACTCTTAGAGTAATTCTTCCGGAGAAATCATCAATAGAATACTCACTTGTGTGTGCAAATGATGTAACTACTACATTTACGAGAGAATGGAAGATTGTATCAAAGTTTTATGATAGGTTTAATACATC